TGTGCAAGCCTCTCAAGTCCTGGAAGACAGTTAATATGTCCCCCCTAATCATCTTCTTCATTATACTAGGCAAGCCTAGTTGCTTCAATCGTTCATTATATGATTTAGCCTTCAGAGCCTGATCCTCTTTTTGCTCTTCTCTGCACCCTTTCTAAGTTCTCAGCATCTTCTTTTCTATCGTGGGGATACATCTTCCCCCAACCAAATCCAACTGAAAACCATACAAGGTTTTCAGCCCCTGAGAAATAAAATCCCCATTCATTTACCCCATCATGGCAACCAGAGACAACGATCTCTTTCCAAAGTAGGATTCTCTAGATATGACAACCCCTTCTGGATGGGAATGCTGGGAGCTGCAGTCCCAGTGGGGCTGGAAGTCATCAAATGGGGAAAAGCAATCTGGAAACTAACATTTCCAAGAAAGGTTTTCAGCAAGGATGGAGAAAGTCAGATGCAGATTTAAAGTTCTGGGGGCACTAAATTTCCTTACTTTATTTTCATGTTTGTGAATGTGTGAGATATTTTTATAGATGAAATATAGTAACATACTATAATAAAGATCAACAAAAAAGATACTGCTGGTGATTATACGGTTAAGAAAAAGACACTCATTACAGTGATTAAAGTAAAATCAACATCAAAGAAGGAAAAAATTAATAAAAATGAGAAAAATGAGATTCTTGTAGTATCAGTATGAGATCAATCCATTCCTTAAACTTAGCATTGAATCTAGGCCACATAAAAACATGTTCCATCTTCTATTAGACAGAAGATTATGGATATTGAATGAAAATTTTAGATAAGAAGTTTGTGTTTATAGTGGGTGCAACTGGTTATTGGAAAATTATGGACATTGAATGAGAACTTTAGACAAGAAGTTTACTATTGAGATAGTGGGAGAAGTAAAACTTATATCGTTTTTGGAAAATGTCTTATGTAATGTCTAAATATGTGTTTTGGGATAATAATATATTTCAGTTTTAAGTTTTAAACCTTTAATGATAATATTGTTTAAACCTGTGTTTTGAAGGGATTATAATTTGTTTATTTCAGTGAGGGGATTCTAATAAATTTGTGTTTCGAAGGGAGTATAATTTGTTTAAGTTTCAAGTAATGCTTAAATTTGGTTTTTAAATATTATTATTAATATTTCTAAGAGAAAATAATTTGTTTAATTAAATGTCTAGATTTGTTTAGGAAAGAAAGTAATGCTTAAATCTGTGTTTTTGGAGAAAGTTTATATAGAATGATGATTGTATTTAGATTTGTTTAGGATTTAAAAGTGTTTCAAGCTTTTAAATATTATTATTAATATTTTTAAGAGAAAATAATTTGTTTAACTAAATGTGTCTAGATTTGTTTAGGATTTTTAAGTTTTTTTTTTTTTTTTTTTGGATAGGTGAGAAGATTATGAAGATTGAAGGAAATATGTATTTACTTTAAGTTTTCTAAGAGTATTTAGTTTTAATGGTACAACAAAGGTTTATATGTTTATTTTTTTGTATTAGGATAAAGAAAGAGGGAGAAATTAGATTTTACATTATAGCTATAGATATTCAAAGAAAGTAATGTTTAAATTTGCGTTTTTGGAGGGAGTTTATATAGAATGATGATTGTATTTAAATTTGTTTAGGTTTTAAAAGTGTTTTAAGTTTTTTTCTCAATTAAGCCTGTACTCAGCTCTGGGAAGTCTAGGGGAGGGTTGGGGAGGTTGGGGAGGAGGGGGGTGAGGTAGGGTTGGGGGGGGTATGGGAAGGGGATTTGTTTTTGTAAAAATTTAAAAATTTTCAATAAAAAAAAAAAAAAAACATGTTCCATCTTCTCATTTTCACATACTCTTGTGAGTTTTTACTGTGACTCCCTGGTTACGAAAGATAGAGGATGGAACCGTTTGAATTGCAGGAAGGATATTTTGAAATGGCAGTTAGTCTTTGACTTACAATCATTCATTTAGTGACCATTCAAAATTATCACAGAAGTGGGGAAAAAACATACGTGAGGAGAAGAACCATCTCTTGTTCTAGAACTCACTTAGGAATAAAAGCCAAATGGGTGGCTTTGGGTCTGTCAGCCCAACCTCACATCACAAGATTGCTGTTGTGGGGTAAATAGAAGGCAGGTGTCAAGCACTGGGGAAATCAGGCGATCCAGGCAGTTCAAATGGCTATAAAGATTTATTGCAAGCTTAAGCTCTCTACAAGAATCTGAGCTACTAATGATCAAGGAAAATTGGCGGTAGATAAAAGTCAACGGAATTCAAGGTGGGTTGGACTTAGATTTCTTGTGCGTGCGAAGGGATGCCAGACTGATGAGGCACTTGACCCCTCCCTCCTTCAGGCTCATACTGGTCATCTCCTACAACAGGAGCATCATGCACGTCCCTTGAGTTGTACAAAATGGAAGTGCAATATAAATCTAATCTATATACTATTAAAACTCTTATGTCTGTTTGGTTGTCTGTAACCTTCAAATGATGCAGCTTATGGCAATTTTGGGATCAACATATTTCAAACAGGCTAACTTATAGAATATCTCCAAAATCCTGGACCCAAGACTCCCATGGGATTGTAATTTGGCAAATTTGTGGCTGCTTCACTGCTGCTGAGCTGCCACAATCAGCCACGCAGTCATATGACCACCATTTTCAATGCTATCTGCTAGTTTCTTTCAAGGAAAGTCAATGGGGAAGCCGGCAGGAAATCGAAAGTCATTCCCACTTCCCTTGTAGAAATGGCTGGTATATATTATGACATAAAAGTAAAAAGTTGAGGTTTTATGTTATTACCTCATTTCACTGCCCCAAAAAGAGTCGGAAGTCTTTTTCTTTTCCCTTTACCCTACACTTTTTCCTCTTCCCCTTTTCCTCCCCGTTATCTTTATTTTTCTTCGTGTTTATATTTTGATAAACTAATATAAATATTTAACCTGGAAATCATTCCCACTTCCCTGGTTTTTTTCTTCTTCTTTCGCCTGGTCGTTCTGTGTCTCCGATTAGCTGAGGAAATCTCTCTGAAACATTGATCCAGCAGATCATGGGTTCTCTAGTAATAAAATAAAATTAAGGAAATTAAAAAGTTAACCTGTCTGAGAGTAAGCAAAACAGGCAGCTGGGATGTGTTTGCTTCCTTTCCATCTCTGATTCAACCTAGTCCTGCTAGAGAGGGAAGGGGCATTGCTGATCTTCATGCATCAAATATTACACCAGTTGGTTTGGGAAGTCGTATTAAAGGCTCCACTTCGCAGGCTCAGTCTGACAGAAGCAAGGCCCAGTTAAGTACAAACTACCATGTCCTCTCTTTTGCTCTTCTTTTTTATTCCTCTCAAAGGCCTTTTGCTGTGCCTCGCCGTTGCCTTTTCATTTGGGTGGAAATTGCTGCTCCCTTTGAAAAGGCAAATGGATAGTTCGAAAGCTGCCACAGCCAAGCGTCACTACGGCGGAAAGAAAACGGACGTCCTTTGGAGGTTTGGAGATGTGGCTGGGAAATAGCACCGTCCCTGCCACGTTCTCCCGGGGGGGGTGTGTGTGTTCGATTCTGACCTCCAAGTAGAAATTGGAGGGACAGAAGGAAGTCAACCAGAGTTAGGCATTTGCACAGGGCAGCCAAAAACAGCCACCACTTTTTTTGCTTCCCTCTGAGTTATCACCTCAAGAGTAGCTGAAGTTGTGGTTGCAAATGTCTGCAACCAGAGGTGCTGTGCTTGTTGTAAGGATAAGGACCTGTCCAAAAGGTATTTTTTCAGCACTGATGTGATTTTGAATGGCCACTAAACAGGGCAGTTGTTAAGCAAGGACTATCTTTACAAGGAAAATATTGGGAACACAAATATGACATGATACAAAGGTCAGTGTCAGGAAATGTATTTAAGTTTTGATTATAAAAATAACCATACATATTTTCTTTCTTTCTTTCTTTCTTTCTTTCTTTCTTTCTTTCTTTCTTTCTTTCTTTCTTTCTTCCTTCCTTCTTCCTTCCTTCCTTCCTTCCTTCCTTCTCTTCCCTCTCTCAATCCCTCCCTCCCTTATCTTCCTTCCTTCCTTCCTTCCTTCCTTCCTTCCTTCCTTCCTTCCTTCCTTCCTTCCTTCCTTCCTTCCTTCCTTCCTTCCTTCCTTCTTATCTACCTACCTACCTACCCTACCACTATCTCAGAATTTGTAAGCTATTGCCTACAACCTGTCAAAATGACGGAGATAAAAGATTACATTTCTTTTTTTCCATATACTTTCTAGTAACATGAGTAAAAGTGAACCTTAAAAGAGCCAGAATGTGTCAGAGAAATGGATTTAATCAAAACCCGTCTTTGGTTTCAAGTTATTCATTCAGTGCTGATTGCCTGGCTAGGAGCTATTGTTCCAATGACAGCAGGATCCTTTTGTGAATGGTGGTTAAATCCAGGGAAAGTGAATGCAAAAATTATTCTGCGTTCATCAGATCGGCTGCTTTTGTGCAGGGAGGATGCATCTCTTTAGTTTAATAACAGAAATAAGTTTGGCAGCTTTTAACATCTCAAAGCTGCTCAGCTTCATGGAGAGAGCATGAATATATTCCAGTACCTCTTTTCCAGGTTGCTTTTTCTGCACCAGAATATATTTGGGGGGATAACATACTGTAATTGTGGTGCATCTCTCGAGAACGGGGAATGGCTTCTGAGGAAGAAATAATGGAGGAGAGAGACCAAATGACTATGGAAAGGTTTTGGGCTTGGAGAGAAATATTTCTAGATCTGTAATGTGCCAAAGCAGGATTGGTCAACATTTGGCAAAAGATCAACAGAGATGGCCGGATTAAAGAATGGTCCCATCCTACAAATAAAACTGGTCAAATCCAATCTTTGGATTGCACTTGTGGTGTCTGAACCGTTGACTTTGACCCTCCTTTGTGACTTGTGGTCTCTCTAACTGGTTTCTAAGACCAGTTGGGTTTTGTTTTGTTTTTTGGTTTCTCTGTGCTCCCTTCCTTTAGACCACATAAACACCTGTTGATTTTGTTATTTCTTTGCAGAGCAAGGTTGGCGTGGCTGACTGGCCCTTCCAGGGTTTTTTTTGCCATTGGGCTCCCTTGGGTTCGCCAGCAAAGCACAGATCATGAGAAAGTAAAGTCCATGACCGTCAGCAGAGAACTTCAACTCCGTGGCTGTTTTTGGGGGCCCATCACCGGGACCGAGGTTCCATCAGCAAGGTAAGAGGCAACCTTTGCAGCTGAGACCGAGAGAGGGGCATGAAAAGAGGAGAATGGACAAACTAATGACGTGCAGCCCTTAAGGGCGGGTTGGCTGGCTGACTGGTTGGGTGGTTAATGGTTGTTGACTGGTTGATGGTTGAGTGGTTGGTTTTTCCTTCCTCCATGAAAATGCCTCTGAAATTGTAGCTTGATATATTATGCGGACAGATAGACATTAATTTAGAAATGAGCCCATTTGTTGGAAAACCCCTAGAGATTACTCCTCTTGTAGCCATTTTTTATCTAGCTCAGTTGCCCCAGCCAAGTAGAGGGAGAACCCTTTGCAGCCCACCAAGGAAATGAAGACAAATATTGGTGGTCATAGAAGGACGTCCTCCAACATCATGAGTAGAAGGTCATTTTCTCCTGCATCCTGGTTGAGACTGTCCTTCCTCCTGGAGGGAGAGGGGGTTGAGACCACTAATTCCTTGGGAGGGGGGTTGAGACCACTAATTCCTGGGTCACCAAGTTGCTGCTTTTCATTTCATAGGCGTGAGGCTAGCATGTCTTTCTTTTGCTGTGCAGCCCTTGACACAGCCCTCAAAAGGTCTTCTCACATTGTCTGTAGATAGTAACGGTTAAGGTGATAGAAGAACATGATTAAATGCACAGGGAAAAAATAATCCTGACTATATTTGACATAGCTCTGCCAAATAATGCAGAGTGTAGAAATTGTGGACCGAGGGATTTTCTCTCTCTTGCAATCAGGGTTATGAACTGAAATTCATCTTGTGGGTGGTTGGGGGATGGGGGAGGACTGCAGCTAATAAAAGGAAGGATTGAAGTGGGGGAAAATTGCTTGCAGTTGGTGGAACAGCATAGTTTAAGTTACCCAGTTGGAGAAATCTTGGCTAAATGGAAGGAGAGTTGGAAGATCAGGGAATTAGTTGGATGTACGGGAAAATTCCCACACGAGGTACTAATCCAGGCTCGAGAAGAAGCTTCTTCAGCTCTGACTGGTTTCTAGTCAGAGCTGAAGGAGCTTCTTGGATGAGAAGAGAAACGTCTTCAAAAGAAACACAAGAAAGTTCAGTTGCCTCCTGAGAAAAGCCCCTTTGAGTATTGACACTTAACGATTGACAAGTTGATCCTCTAATGCAGGGGTTCTCAACCTTGGCAACTTTAAGACTTGTGGACTTCAACTCCCAGAATTCCTCAGCCAGCAAGGAATTCTGGGAGTTGAAGTCCACAAGTCTTAAAGTTGCCAAGGTTGAGAACCCCTAGAGCAGGGGTCTTCAAACTTGGCCCTTTTATGACTTGTGGACTTCAGCTCCCAGAATTCCTCAGCCAGGCACATATGCCTGTCTGAGGAATTCTGGGAGTTGAAATCCACAAGTCATAAAAGGGCCAAGTTTGAAGACCCCTGCTCTAGAGTCAAAACAAGTGGAACTTGTTTTAAGTTTGGTGGGGCTTCTCTCCTGATCAAGGGCCTCAGATTCTTGCCTGACTCCTCCTCCCTAGCTTCATAATTTGGAGCAGAACATTGCTGCCTTCCACCCCATGTATTCTTTGAGATTGCAGCACAAAATTATGAGGTTGGACTAAGGTGACTTCCTGTGCCAGGAGTTGTATTTGTGTGTCCGTGTCTGCATGCCGTTTTCTTCTGAAATTAGGGTGGAAATCTGTAGGTAGGGACATCCACAGGTAAGACTTAAAAGAGTCAAGATGGCAGCCAGAACAATGTGGAGACCACAGCAAGGGCAGGGCTGTTGAAAGACGGAGCCTTGACATCTGTCGTCTTGATTTCTTTTGACCCCCTTGGTGGTTGTGGAAATGACTGAACGGGATCTTTTGACAGAGAGCGGTAGAAAAGAAGGAGAAAAAGAAGGGAAGAGATTGGGGCACAAAGAACTTTAGAATAGTTGTGCTCCGTTTCCTTCCTTCCTTCCTTCCTTCCTTCCTTCCTTCCTTCCTTCCTTCCTTCCTTCCTTCCTTCCTTCCTTCCTTCCTTCCTCCTTTCTTTCTTTCTTTCTTTCTTTCTTTCTTTCTTTCTTTCTTTCTTTCATTTGGCAGGATGCAATTTCCCCCCCTCTTAAATGTTGTTATTCAAAATACGGTATTTTAAAAAGGACAAAAAGGAAAACAAGATTATGGGCACAGGCACTGCTGGAGAGAGCAATTATTTCCATGACTACTCAGAAACATGACGATGACATTCTGAAAAAGGGAGCTTTCATATTTAACTTGTTGTGGAGTTGGGGGAAATAATAAGTCTATTAAACTTTCGGCACCAATTTGGTTTTTACGGGGAAATCTGAGTTGGGGAGAGTCCCTGACTTCCCAAAATATGCATTGATTGGTTTTTTGTTAAGCTTTAAGAGAAGAAGATGTGAGAAATAGAGTGGTGCAAAAACATCAGCTTCCTTTTTGACAACATTTAAGCTGCAATTTACCAGTTGAGATTTTGCCTTTGAATAAAAGGGGTTAGTGGATTCTTAGTCTTTTTGATGTTCTAAGTCTAACAAGGCTCTCTTCTTACTGTGTAACACAGGAAAACAGGAATGGACATCACCTTTTTTGGGGAAAAAAGAAGGATGTTCTGCATATCTGAATTAGTCTCTTTATTTCCCTCCCTCCAAGCTGAAACTCAATACAGATAGTCCTTGACTTACGACTGTCATTGAGCCTGGAATTACAGTTGTAGGTCATGCTGGTCATTAAGCAGATCACCACGTGACCACTGCTGATTTCATGACCTTTTTTGCAACAGTTGGTAAGCGAATCTATTGACTGCAATGGGCATTTTTTGCTGGAAATCAGAAGTAAATGCTAGTTTCCAGCAAAAAACAAACAAAACACATAAATCACAGTCATGTGGACTGAAGGATGCTGTGTGGTCAGTTGCCGAACACCCAAAATGCAATCATGTGACTGCAGGGAGGGTTGGCCATCAAAACTTCTAATGTTCACTAAGGAATCGGTCATAAGTTGGGGAATACCTGTGCAGAATTGAAGATTCAATTCCTATGGAATTCTTCAGAATGACACAGAAGAAGGAAGGAAGGGAGGGAGGGAGGGAGGGAGGGAGGGAGGGAGAGAGGGAGGAAGGAAGGAAGGAAGGAAGGAAGGAAGGAAGGAAGAAAGGAAGGAAGGAAAGAAGGAAGGAAGGAGGGAGGGAGGGAAGACAAATATTTCATGTATTCCTCCCTGTGGGACTTTGCCCTAAATTTTCATGTAATTTAGCACTTCAAAACTTGGATGAAGCTTTCCAGAAATGTGTCAGGAGCTCAACCTTTAATTACAGCAGCGATATTTAATTGATTAAAATGTGGCACCAAGAATAATGTAATTGTTGGAGCTCTCCAGGTTTCCTTGTGTCGTCAAATTTTAAAATGTAATTTGCGGCTTTGAGAAATGGCTCTTTTAGGAGAAGTGGCTTCAGCCATATGAAGGAGCAAATAGGTAGAGAAAAAAGGCTTGCAAAAACCCCACATCCCTAGGAAGAGATGTGTGTATACATGAAGGTGTGCAAACTTGAATGGAGAGAAAATGCATGGAGGAAACATGTAGGAATTCTTGGGCAGACTGAAATTTGCAAGGGGATTCAGAATTTGCAAACTGCTTCAGAAACCTAAACGAAGGTGTGCTTGCAAAAATTGGAAATTTGTTTTAGAGAATGATCTGAACTATTTCAGTATCCTTTTTTTCATTAAAAAAACTCTCTATTGGACTCTAATTCTGGATAATTTCTCATAAGCATGAGTTACAGGGAACGTAACAAGATTTCTTTCTAGGCTCATTTGGCTTTCCTTTTTCAGGGGCCTTCTCAGTTGTGGCACCCTTTGACATTTCACTTTGGAAATAAAATGGAAACTTTCATAGCCCCTTTTGATTTTCAGAGTCATCTGAGTTTATTTCTTCTTTTGTGGACTGCTTTGTGATGTCCATGAGGAGGACAATCTTGGTGAAATGTTACTGATTCTTAACCACTGATATTATTAATAAAAATACTATGGGACTGACGAAAGAGGCAGAATCAATTGAATTTTCATTTGGGATATGTTGACATTTTAGTTTTATTTGCTGCATTTCCATCCTTCTTCGGAGAGTGGAAAGCAACATCCATGAAAAAAAGACTCTTGACAATGATTCTGTAAGACTGATTGTGTTAAGAGAGAGTTGAAGAGCTGTCCTTTGGGGGGGGGGGCTGACAGGCTCCAAAACCCAAGAAAGAAATGTTATGATTCTCCCAAGCAGTTTTTTTATTGTTCCTCACCCATAGACAGAATCTTGCCAAATTAGAGCATGCTAACACTGCCATAAAATATATACTCTGAGAACTATTAAGGAGGAACTGTCTTCACCTTCTTTGTCTCACACAAATTATCTGAACTCAATTCTTTATTGATTTCTTTATTGTTCCTCACATATAGACAGAGATCTTGTCAAACTAAAGTATATTACTTGCACCATTAAATATATGCTCTGGGAACATTGAGGAGGAGCCGTCTTCACCCTCTTTCTCATACACAAACTCTCTGAACTAATTGTCTCTTGCTCCTCTGGAATGCAGCTCCTGCCTCCTGGGAATCCAGATTCCATTCTATCCCTGTACCTGAAGCTAAAACCCCAATGACTCCCCTGTTCTGCCCTGGGAATTAATTAATGTGCGGTGGGTGGGGGGGCTTTAGTTGAACAGAGCGGAGAAAGATGTTCAGGGCCTGACTGAATAACATCTGGGTAGGATTGTTCAGCAAATTGCAAAGTGTTAAGGAAAAGGTTCAGCTTTTGTAATAGCGAAGTTGAGATGACTGTCTGAGTTCTTAGCCTCCATCTCCTCCATGCAGAGATGAGAGAATCCTGCAGGGACCCCTCAAAAGAGCTTGACAAAATGTATCCCCAGGGAAGCAGATAATGTCCTACGCAACTTGTGACAAACCGGGAAATCAGAGCCGTATTCTCATTCAGCAAAAGAGGAGCAGTGTGTGTGTGTGTGTGTGTGTGTGTGTGTGAAGAAG